ACAGCACTCTGGCTTCAGAATCAGCCCTAAAGGCATTCCGATCTGGCTGAAAAGCCCATGGGAGTATTTCAGGCATGGAAAGCCAAGACATTTTGGCAAAAAAAAAAAAAAAAAAAAAAAAAAAAACAAAACAAACAAACAAAAAAAAAACAAACAAACAAAAAAACAAACCCTAAATGAAAGATCTCTGTGAGTGAGATCCCAGTGGAAAGAACAGGTCATCAAAGAAGGAGGTACCTTTCTCTGAAGGGAGGAGAGAACCTCCACTTTGAATATGACCTTGTCTAAACAAGATAAGAGTCGGAGAACTCAAGGGGCTTCCATAGCCTTGGAAACTCATGACTGGTGCATAGGGAGATTACTGATGCCATAAACAGGAGTGTCAACAACAGGAGTCACTGTGCACTTACTCCTCATGTAGGATCTCTGTCCTTAATGTGCTGTACATTGAGACTTAATGCTATAACGAGTACTCAAGCAGTATATTTCGCTTTGTGTTTCTATGGGGGTGCAAACTGTTGAAATCTTTACTTAATGTATACTAAACTGATCTTCTGTAAAAAAAAAAGAAGAAGAAATTATCAATTCCCAACTTGACTCTCACTGGGATTAAACATGACAATAGGTCTTATCTGATTTCATCATCATTTAAAAAATCATCTATTATTTTTCACTTTATGTTTGTGTGGGAGCAAACTGTTGAAATCTTTACTTAATGTATGCTAAACTGATCTTCTGTATATAAAGATAATCGAAAATGTATCCTCATGTGAATGGAAGGGGAGAGGGAGTGGGAAAGGGGAGGGATGCGGGTGGGAGAGACGATATGGGGGGGAAGCCATTGTAATCCATAAGCCGTACTTTGGAAATTTATATTCATTAAATAAAAGTTAAAAAAAAAAGGAAAAAAAAAACTGACACAGAGAAATGAGTAAATGAGGATGAGGCCATCTTTACATTATAAGTAAACACGATGTATTGGTTAAGAGAAAGGAATCTGGGCTGGAGCCGTGGCTCACTAGGCTAATCCTCCGCCTGTGGCGCCGGCACCCTGGGGTTCTAGTCCTGGTCGGGGCGCTAGATTCTGTCCCGGTTGCTCCTCTTCCAGTCCAGCTCTCTGCTGTGGCCCGGGAGGGCAGTGGAGGATGGCCCAAGTGCTTGGGCCCTGCACCTGCATGGCAGACTAGGAGGAAGCACCTGGCTCCTGGCTTCGGTTCAGTGCAGCGTGCCAGCCGTAGCAGCCATTTGGGGGCTGAACCAATGGAAGGAAGATCTTTCTCTCTGTCTCTCTCTTTCACTAACTCTGCGTGTCAAAAAAAAAAAAAAAAAAGAGAGAGAGAGAGAGAAAGGAATCTGGCATCTGACTCAGAATATTTTAAAGATTTACATGAGAGAATTGACATGGGTTTTAATATTTCTGTCTCCTATTTTCTTACACGAGTCTTTGTGACAAGTAGAACAATTTAGTGGAATGACCACACTTTTGGGGTTAACTCTGCAGCTTCAAAGCCCTCCCGCTTCATCATTTGTTAGCTGTGGACTTTAACTTCAGAGGTGTGTTCTGTTATCCGTACGGTGGGGACAATAATCCTGCCCTGCAGTGCTACAGTTCGGATTAGATGTGGAATGCGCAGTGACTAGCTTTTCCCTTCAGTATTCAAATTTAACACGTTGAAGGGAAATGTAGTGATGTGTATCCTTCTCTTTCTCTCATGCCTGATCTTCACTGATGGAATGAATGTGAGACTGAGATCTTAAGAACTCAGCTGTATTCCACATACAACTCTCCTAATCATTGAACTTTTAATCTAATCACTGAAACATGAAATTCCTTGCTAGTCTCTGCTTGCTTTTTTCCTCAAAGCTTCCAAATTGGATCTCCTCCCTGGGCACAGGGCCATAATGTGACTCCAAGCAGTGGACAACTTTTAACTTTTACTTCTTTTTCCTTATGTACTTTTTTTTTGACAGGCAGAGTTAGTCAGTGAGAGAGAGAGAGACAGAGAGAAAGGTCTTCCTTTTTCCGTTGGTTCACCCCCCTAGTGGCAGCTATGGCTGGCACCTTGCAGCTGGCACGCTGCACCAATCCAAAGCCAGGAGCCAGGTGCTTCCTCCTGGTCTCCCATGTGGGTGCAGGGCCCAAGGACCTGGGCCATCATCCACTGCACTCCCGGGCCACAGCAGAGAGCTGGACTGGAAGAGGAGCAACTGGAACAGAATCCGGCACTCCGACCGGGACTAGAACCTGGGGTGCTGGCACCGCAGGCGGAGGATTAGCCTAGGGAGCCGCGGCGCCAGCCGGAGCCTGTTGCTCTTGCACAGAACTTCCTGCTGTGATATCTGTAAGAGCCATACCTCTCATCTTTGCCATCTAATTCCTTTAGAGAGTGATTCTATCCTATATTTATCTCTTTAACTCACTTCTTGTTTCTCTACAACTCTATACTTATAGTCTCCAGGATCTTTTGAGATCATTTTGGACCCTGTTTCTGGTGTACTTAAGTATAAAAGAGATAAAATTTAGGAGTTCATTAGGGACAGCAGTAGTGTTTTTTTGGGACAGGAAGGTTATAATATTTTAAGTAAATTCCCTTAACTGTTGCTATTGCTAATTCAGATGGTGGTTGTGGGCCCATGTGAATCGTATAATTGAACGAATGATATACCAGGGATAAACTTTTAACCTCTGCTATTTTAAAGGATGGATGATGGGGAGTAAACTCACATAGATGATTCTATTGGATGATAAGCATCATGGGGACAGAAGTTTCAAATCAGAATGTTTGCTATCAAATCCTAACTGTATAATTTACCATCCATATGACCTTCAGCAAGTCAATCTTTCAATGGCCTTATTTTTCTCACCTGTAAAATTGGGATATTAATTGCACCTACCTCATGATATTTCTTTTGAGGATTAACTAAAATAATACATATAAAGTGTTTAGAGTGATACTTGATATTCAATAAATGTTAGTTATTACTACTGTTAACGGTATTTAAAGTTTATAACTTTCACATTCATGAGTGTATGATTTAAAAATATTTTGCTATTTCTGAAGTATATTCTCTAAGTGAAACACTCCATCAGTCAGCAACTCCACTTAAACAAGTAAAATTGAATAATGATGATTATTTACCTATTTGAGAATATCACGAATTACAGATGGCTCCCAAGTGAGGATGTTTAACTTTACAGTGGTGGAAAATTAATGCACATTCAGTAGAAACTACTTTGAACTTTGAATTTTGATCCTGTCCCAGGCTAGAGATATGTGTTAGCAAACCCTGTTATGATGTTGGGCAGTGGCAGGGAGCCAGACTTTCCAGGCAGCCACGTGACGATTAGGGGAAATAACTGAGACTCAATACTGTACTGTGTTGCCAGCATTGTTTGGATCCAGGTGTTCAATAAATTGCATAAGATATTCAACACTTTGTTAAAAAATAGACTTCTTATTAGATGATTTTTCCACCTATGTGTAAGTGTTCAAGATAGATTAGGTTAACCTATTATTTTGGATGGGTTAAGTACATTAAAGGCATTTTTACTTACAATATTTCCAACTTATAATTTATCATATGCTTTATCATGATGTAACCCTATTGTAAGTTGAGGGGGATCTTTACAGGTGTCTGGTTAGTAGAGTCTTTATTGAATATTAATGATGAGATATGTCTATCTCATTATCTCAGGGAACTGAGATGGGTTTTAGCAGTATCTGAGCACATGAACTCATTTTACTTTTCTATCTCTATTTGTATTCAAATCAGTAAAACCCAAATTATGAGGAAGAACAGGACCTACAACCTGTCTTTCTTGGCTGTGTAATTAGCACTCATATAGGACAGAGAGAAGAATCTGGTTTTATTCATTGGGATTTAGCAACAATAAACAGGAGTGGCTCAGGATGAAGCGTGAACCCTTCCCATAGTTTTTCTAAAGTTCAGTTGGTGGGGGTTGGGGGAGAATACCTGACTGCTTTGACCAGGGGTAACATAATACAAAGTTTTTCCTAATCATGGCAACCCTCATTGATATTCCATTTCTATGATATTCTCCTCAACTTACTGTCTTCAGTATATAATTTAGTCCTGAATTATATCATGTCATGCTGTTCAATTTCATGTTATTCACATCTCTCTGAAGAGATTGGGAGAAATTTGAGGAGACAGATCAGGTATCTTCTTCTACAAGACCCAAGTGCCAAGAAATGCAATGAGTCCACTAATCATACCATATACTCATAAAAGCTCAGGTTGTTTAGTTGGTTATATCTGAACCCTATATGGAATATAAAGCCTGGATCCCCACCTAATATCACATTCGAAAGTGGACTTTAGAAGCATTAAAGACCCAATATAAAAGGGAAAACTATAGAGTTAGTGAAAGAAAATGCAGTAAAATATTTTTATGACTTAGAAGGAGAGAGGGAATTTTTTTAAAAACCTTCAAAACATAAACATGAGGCCAAGAACATTGATGAATATGAGTTCTTTGGATTTCTGTTTCACAAAGGACAACATGATTAGTATCAATAGAAGACAGAATGAATGATCACAATGTCTATAACAAATGCACAATTAACACATAGAAAATATGAGAAATGCCTGAAAAAATATGAATTAAACAAACAAGACAACTCTATTGGAAAACTGGGCAGACTATGATAGGTACTTTATAGAAATGAAGACCTCGAAAGCTAAGAGCATATGAAGTAATGTGTGCATTAGTAAATAGAAAAATGCAAATTAAACCACAGATAAGATACTATTTTATGTTTATTATGTGGGCAAGAATAGAAAGTAAAATAATACTAAGTACTGTTAACATAGTATTACTGGATGTTTGTATCCCATGCGAAATTCATATTTAGAGATTCTTAAGTTGATGGATGAGGAGATGGAGCCTTTGGGAGTTATTTGGGTCATGAGGGTAGAGTACTGATGAAAGGAATCAGTGTTCTTATAAAAGAGAGCACTCTTGCTCCTTCTGCTAGGTGAGGACACAGCAGGAAGATGGGCTTCTATGAACCAGGAGGAGGGCCCTCACCAGATGCTCAGTCTCCACAACTGTGAGAAATAAATGTTTGCTCTATCAGCCAGTCCGTGGTTGGTGTTTTCTTGATAGCAGCCTGAATAGACTAAGAAACCAATGTATGAGACATAGAACCCTGCAGATTGGAGTGCGCTCTGAGAAAGCCATTCTAAGGATCAATTCTGCTCCAGTGAGTCAAATGAAGCATGTGCAGGCTCAACAACCTAGTAATTCTGCTCCCAGAACAACTTGCATGGATTCAAAAGAGGTAAGTGGGGATCTGTTTAGTGCAGTATTTTCGGAGGTGACTCTCAGGTATGCAGGTAAAATATGGTAGATATACACTATGAACCATCATGTGTCATTTAATAATAATCTACTTTTATCCATGTTGTCATGAATAGATCTTTAAAGGTTCTGAGAAAATAAAGGATGAACACAAACTGACTTTATCAAGTTATTTTTTATAACACAGAAGATGTTAAAAATATGTGCACACAAAGCAACATATATTTTTGCAAAAATGCATACAAACAAAAGAATGCAATGGAAGTACAGCATAACGGCCTGCAGAGGTAGGGAACTGGGGTTATATCAGAGGAATAAGGAGGATAAACAAAAAACAACAGGGGAGAGTCTGGAAAGTGCCTGTGATGACAAAATGGGTCACTACTTAACTCAGCTTCTGAACCTGAGGGTTCTGAACTCAGAGAAACATGCTTAACATCAACCTAAGACTCCATTTTCAAACACAGTTTCTGTTAACAGATGCACCTCTGTATTTCTCTCACTTAGTTAAGACCTCTTGCATTCCTACCCATTCACTTCAGTAAAGAGAATTTTTTAGTTAACAACAATAATGTTGGATATGAAACAGTATACAGATTTCATACTTTCTCAACATATTATAGCACTTGCCATTGTTCAAAAATTTTTTAGCTAAGGAGGTTTAGATTATTTTTCTTATTACATTGAGAAGGTTTTGTGATATCACAGGGTTGGGGGAGTAAAGGAGATATTGGAGGATATGTGCTGATCCAGGTTCATTCTAACATTCCTTAAAAAATAGCTGTTGTTATTTTCTCTTTCTTTCTTTCTTTCTTTCTCTCTCTCTCTCTCTCTCTCTCTCTCTCTCTCTCTCTCTTTCTTTCTTTCTTTGACAGGCAGAGTTAGACAGTGAGAGAGAGAGAGAGAGAGACAGAGAGAAAGGTCTTCCTTCTGTTGGTTCGCCCCCCAAAGCCAGGTGCCTCCTCCTGGACTCCCATGTGAGTGCAGGGCCCAAGCATTTGGGCCATCCTCCACTGCACTCCCTGGCCACAGCAGAGAGCTGGACTGGAAGAGGAGCAACCGGGACAGGACCAGCGCCCCAACTGGGACTAGAACCTGGGGTGCCGGTGCCGCAGGTGGAGGATTAGCTTAGTGAGCCGCAGCGCCAGCCAGTTGTTATTTTCTTTTTTCTTTTTCTTTTTTTTTTTTTGACAGGCAGAGTGGACAGTGAGAGAGAGAGAGAGACAGAGAGAAAGGTCTTCCTTTGACGTTGGTTCACCCTCCAATGGCCGCCGCAGCCAGCGCGCTGCGGCTGGCGCACCGCGCTGATCCGATGGCAGGAGCCAGGAGCCAGGTGCTTTTCCTGGTCTCCCATGGGGTGCAGGGCCCAAGCACCTGGGCCATCCTCCACTGCACTCCCTGGCCACAGCAGAGAGCTGGCCTGGAAGAAGGGCAACCGGGACAGAATCCGGCGCCCCAACCGGGACTAGAACCCGGTGTGCCGGCACCGCAAGGCGGAGGATTAGCCTAGTGAGCCGCGGCGCCGGCCCAGTTGTTATTTTCTAAGAGGCTCTGAATTTAAAAGAATGGAAGGATACATATCAATATGTAAACATTAATTATTGGTTGGGGGGGGTATATTGCCAGAGAAAAACTATGCATGATTTAATGTTAGTTGAAAATATAGATTATAAACATCATCTATGATATTACCATGAATATGATGCAGTTGAGTCTGTTGTGGGATAGGAATAGATGTAATATGAAGAATTTACAGTTGATTTGAGAAAGAAATGAAAGTTTATGAAAACTATAAAGGTTCATTTTTGATCAAATCAAACCAATACAACTGTCATTTCTTCCCTTTTAAAATAACTGGAATTCTGTACTTTTTTATTGGAATCTGAACTTAGTTTTTGAGTGAAGACTTATGGACATCTTGGCAGAACTATTACCCAACCAAGTTTTGTTTTCCTGTATTGGGGCAGTCCTGTATTTTAGTTTTAAGAAAATTTTCATTATTTAACTTCAGTATTACACAATAGGTCTTCATTAATATATTAGCAAGATAAAATCGACCTTTTTGATTGGCACTGCTTATCTCATATATTTTAAAAATACTAGAAATCTTAAAATTTTGTCTAATTTTAAAAAATGTATGATCATACAAAAAAAGTAGTTCTGGTGCAGTCTGTCTTTTCCATCATGGAAATATTGTGTTGGAATTTGGGGAGCAATAAGCTAGGATATCTTGACTTCAATTTTTACCTTTAAATAAGGGGCTGAGATAGAAAGAGTGGTTATAGAATTATCCATTTGTTTCATGGGAAAACTCATTATTCTCCTCCCCCTCTCTTCTCCTTAGCTACCCATTCCATCAGACACTGATGTAGCAGGTCTGGGGCAGAGCTCAGGAATCTGCAAAGTTATTTGGGTGCAGGTAATCAAAAATCATGTTTTTGGAAATAGAGGAAATGATTCACAAAATTCTTTCCACCTTTATTTTATGCTAGAAAAAATTTTATCCAACTTACCATGTTTTCACTCATCTCCCTTAAATCTTTAAATTGATATGTGCTGTTTTGTCCAAAATTGTTACTGACTTGTAGATGTGACATTTTAAAGGTGCCATGATAGTACTCCATTTTTTGGCCTGTGACGAGAGTGAAAAGTGGGAGAACTAAGTGGTTTGGTTGAAGATGTCCGAATCTAAGACTCAATGTAATGGGGATTGTATGAAGCCTTGAATGTACTTCTAAGCTGCTTTCTAATTGAATGTTGTAAAAATAATAGACATCATAATGTGCTAAGTTAATAACAGTAGTTGATATTTATTGAGTGCCTACTATTTGCTATGTACTGTTCTGAATATTTTACATGTTGTAACTTATATGGTCCTCAGGTTAGCTTTCTAAGATTGACATCTCCATCATTTTAAAGTTGAAGAAAGTAAGGCACAGGATCATTAAATAACTTAGACACATGTTGGCTTAAGAGCTTGAACATTTCTTTACTATATTGCCCACTGCTGAATTGAAATGTGTATTCCAAATACGATCAGCCTTTGTATTCATGGATTCAATCAACTGTTTGTGAAAAATATTAAAAAATAAATTGCCTCTGTTAACCAGACACTGAGAAGGATATAAGGGAGGGAGAATTGGGAGAAGTTGGTTAATGGAGATAAAATTACAGGAGTGTTAATTGCAATTAACAATAATTTACTATGCATTTCAAAAGAGCTAGAAAAGAGGACTATGTTCCCAACACAATGAAATGATAGATTTTGGGGTGATGGATAGTCTAATTATCCTAAGTTGACACTCCTATAGTATATACATGTATTGAAATGTCACACTGTACCCCATAAACATGTACAATGATTGTATATCAATTAGACAAATGAATAAATTGGGTCTCTGATGAACATGTTAAGACTTTTTTCTTGTCATTATTTCCTAAACAATACCATATAAAATCTATTTATGTAGCATTTACGTGGTATTAGATATTCAGAATAACCTAGAGATGATTTAAAGTATACAGGATACTGTGCACAGGTACTATGCAAGCATTGTTTTATTTTACATAAGGGACATGAGCATCCACCAATTTTAATATACTGACGTGGTCCTGGAACCAGTCCTCTGCAGAAACTGAGGGATGACTGTACTCTACTGAAAACAGAGGTAAAGGACCATCTTTGAAAATTTTAATTTGTGATGAAAGAACCAGGCACACTAAAAAATGATGGTAAGAAAGACCAGGGAAAAGGCTGTCTGAAGGTAAAGTTGAAAATAGTGGGTCACACAGGTAAGTTGATCAGATCTCTGCTTGGCTATCAAGAAAGACAGACAAGAAGAGCAAGCAGTGGAGACTCCTGGGAATCTGGTTATCTTAAGGCCCGGAAAAGGCAAGAAAGCTGAAAAGAGTTAACAATAGAGATCAACACCCTTGATCCCTGCACAACGTGGCTCAGGGAGGAAGCAATGGGTTTCCTGATCATAGATTTAGAAAAGAAACAAGGGTCTTAGGATGGACAGTCTCCTAACTGGGACATTACTGGGCCCTGCAATGCTTTTTGGTTCCCTTAACTAAGTAATAATACTATACTATACTATACTATACTATACTCCATGCTGTTATCAAGTCACATTCTCATTTTATAAAGGATTTTATGAAACCAAATTAGCTGCCCTGAGAATCTTTTGTCACTGTTGTAAACTATGTGATTGTTATATCATTGGAGGATAACAACTGACAAAACCATTGAAGTAAGCAGTTTTAGATAATAATTGTACTATACTTCCACGTGAGAGTGACATTGTGGGAATTTGTTAAAAAATGTAAATGCTTTTTACTTTCCTCAGAGATGCAATATGAAAAGAAAGAATTCTGAAATGATTTATTTGTGTGATTAAAAACATACTAGCGAATAAAGATACAGTCCTTTGCTGTTGTTTGGGTAAGAATAAAATTCTTTCTCTAAAAATAAGTGATAACATTGAATCATAATTTATCATTTTGTAATTCATTATTTCATTAATATATGCTTTCCTTTTGCTTTAGAAGTTTAGTGGAAATAAAATGATGGCTGTGATTAAAAGAACCAATTTTAGCAACCAACTTATCATAGTTTTTCATTTAAATATATAATGAATGATGAAAGTCATATATTATGACTACTAATAAATTTCAGCCAATTATTAATTTTGATCTTTCATGTAGATTCCTAAAGTTCAGTATTGGCTTAGGAGCTTCAAGGAGCTAGGAAATTTGTTTTTTGCTTGAATGCTATGTCCTGAGTACCCAGAAAAGTCCCTGCATGGAATAGGCATTCAGTAATTATTTGCTGATGAAATGACTGAATAAATTAAAAGTATATTCCAAGAATGGACATTTACAGTAGAATCGTAATTTTTTGAATAAAATTTTATTAACTTATATGCAAATTAAGCTTGTCAGAAAAATGATATCAAACTGAGTAAAATCCTTAATTTTACCTACCAGGGACTAAGAAGTGAATTAGAAGACCGATGACCACTGCCACCACTATCAGTGATAACACAACCAGAAGGGTGATCATCCATGGCTGCAGGGCTCTCCTTCGGGTACCAAATCCAACTGCCCTGCAGAAAGAAAAGCCCACAAGTTACTCTCGCGTTATAGTTATAGTGGTTATTGGCTTTTTTTGTTCTCCTTGAAAAGTTGTAATTTCTCTTGCCCTTGCCAGCAAGACACTTGTTTACAATTTTGATCCGGGTTATCTTGACCTGATGGAGATTGTTACAAGCATCAGGATGTAGGATGGATATGTTGCTCTTGGTTTCTATTTCTAGAGGCATGTGGTAACCCTGTCTGACTTCTCTCAGTGGAGTGGTCCAATGTAGTTCAGGTGCTTGAAAAGAGGACCATTCCTCCTTTCTCCAATGCTGTTACTTATTTCTTTATTTGTTCATCTAAATTTTAGAGTTTAGGAATTGATTTTAAATCTATTTCTCATTCACTTTTTATCTATTATCTTTACTGTGAAATCTTTCAGACACATAGAAAATTAGAAAGAATAGTATAATAGGACACTCATATTCATCAAATCACTTTATCAGCTGTTAACATTTTTACAGAATTTACTTCATTCATTCTCTGATGTGCATTTTAATGTGAAATAGACAGCAAGTTTCTTCAGCAAATAATTATTATAATCAATTAGGACATTTCCAACAAAATCACATAATTAACATTCCTAAAATATTAATAACATTACTCCAATATCTCATAATACTCAATCTTCTAATTTTCTTTATTGTCCTTGTTATATTTATATATTGTTTTAACAAACCAGAAGAGCCAAGGACCAATGTAGTACACTTGATTGTAATGTCTTTTAAGTCTCTTTTGTAACTTATGCACAGCAAATGAAAAATTTCCAATTATAATCTACAAAATGGGGGAAAATATTTGGGAGGTCTACATTCTGACAATGAGTTAATATCCAGACTCTATTGAGAACTCAAATAATTCAATGGCAAAATGGAAATAACCTAATTAAAATGGTAGTAGATCCGAACAGACATTTCTGAAGAGAAGACATAGAAATGATCAACTGGTAGGTGAAAAAAAATGTTCAACATTACTAATTATCAGTCAAATTCAAATCAAAAGTACAATGAGATACTATCTCACTCCAATTATATTGGCTGTTATCAAAAAGACAAGTGTTGGTGAGGATACAGAGAAAGGGGAAATCTTGTATGCTGTTGATGGGAATGTAAATTAGAATACCATTGCGGAAAACAGATGAAGATTTCTCAAAAAGTGAAAAGTAGAACTACTGTATTATTCAGTAATCCCACTACTAGTTATGTGCCCACAGGAAATGAAATCAGTCTCTTGAAGAGACATCTGAATGCCCATGTCTCTTGCAATACTATTCGCAGTGACTAAAAAAAATGGATGCAGTGTAAGTGCCCATTCACTGATGAATGGATAATGTAAATGTGGTACATCTGCACAATAGAATATTAATCAATCATAGAAGAGGATTAAACATTGTCATTTGTGACATGGTAAGTGAAATAATCTAAGCACAGAAAGATTAGTATCACATGATCTCACTCATGTAGAGTTAAAGAAAAAAAGATGAACTCACAGCATTCGAAAATATAAAGGTGGTTACCAGAGTGGGGAGAGAGGGATTGGGGAAGGTTGATTAATGGGTACTTAGTTATAACTAGGTAGAAGTAAGAAATTAGGAGGTTCTTTTGCATAGTATAGTGATTGTAGATAATGATTCAGCATTACACATTGTTAAAAATTTTAAATAAAAAAGAAAAGAATGCTCCACTCTCTGAACCTGTTTGATTGCTTTTTTGTTATATTTGACATGTTCTTCTATCTCTTTCATTTCCTGTGCACTGGAATTTAGGTCCAACACCTAGGTTAGATTTTTGAAAATTCATATGTGGTGTTATGCTCTTTTTTTCTGTGTCACACCAGTAATATAGAACATTTCCACAATTTTGGAGGAAAAATAGCTTCACTTTTTTTCTAGCACCTTATGATCATCACATTGTGTCAAGTATTTGTTTGCAGCTATGTTCATCCACAGTTGACTGGAACTCCTCAATGGGCTGTCCATCTTTTTACATTAACACCTAATACCTTTCCTGGCACAGAGCAGGAACTTTATATTCTATGAGAATCAGGCAGGTTTATACCAGTGTTACATGTGAAACAACAAAGGCTGAGTGAGTAGCTACCAAACTTGCTAATGTCAAGTGTCTTAGAAGGACCAGAGTTATCCAACTCTAATGCCCATTCCTTTCAACTTGCTATTGTGATGAATTTTAACTACTTTATCAAAGGTTATCTTATCACATATGTATATTGATAGCCCAGATTCTTTGGGAGCAGAATATATTTTGCATATCTCCTTCACAGAATTTATTGCAATGCTTTGTACTAAACAGATTTTTTTGAAATTATTGGTTGATTTTATAGGAGCTTTCCTGTCAAATATAAAAATATTTTTATACGTAAATAGTAAGATAAAAGGTACAAACTAGATCTAGGCAGTTAAGATGATGATTTGGCCATAAGTAATAATTTTAGCCAACATACTTAGTGAAACTTGGATACCTGAATTCTAGCTGGTATGGAGAATATGTTCCAAATGTGTATTGACTGATTAAAAAGAATCTAGTAGGCTTGGGCATTAAGCCTAGTAGTTAGGACATTGCTTAAGATGTCCATATCCCACAGTGAGGTGCCTGGGTTTGATTACCCCAGCTCCAGCTTCTGATTCCAGCTCCTGGTCAATGCAGATCCTGAAAGGCAGTGGTAATGATTCAAATAATTTGATTCCACCACTCACAAGAGAGACTTGTATTGTGTTCACCAGGTCCCAGCTTCAGCTCTACCCAATCTCTAGCCATTTTGGTAATTTGGGGAATGAACCAGATAGGAGCACACTCTCTCTCGCTCTTGCTCTCTCACCATCTCTGTATCTCTTTGTCTCTCTATCTCAGAATCTCAAATAAACTAAGATAAAAAAAATAGAGAACTGTTTGTAGAAAGTCAGTGTGTCCTCTGAGAACAAAGGCTAATGCTAATATAACAAACAGAAGCATCGTGTGATGTGGCATTACTTAACCTTTCATATAGCTTAAAGCCTACATTCAGAAGTGAAGGATACCTTATATATTACTTAGTATAATTTAACCACTTTCCAAACAAAGAAACTGATGTCCAAATACGATTAAGTGACCTCTGTAATATAATAAAATAATCATCTCAGACTCAAGTCTTCTAACTTCTAGGACATAAGTTTATTCTCAGATCCAGATTCCCTTGCCATGGATGCTATTTGGTTAATTATTGAGGACATTTATCTGTTACGTATTTATCTATTCATAGAATCCTACATTCTCTATTGGTGTGATTCTTCATTTTCTCAGAGAATCCTCTCTGTATGTCTAAGCTATTTGAAAATGAAAACTGTCCAAAGGAGAAAGGTTAGAACTCAAAGGTATTCACAACTTTTAAACCAATCTCCCTGTTACAGCACAGCTGATCATGGTGAACAGGCAGGGGAAGTAGATGATAGGAGTTCACAGTCCCCACTGTCCAGACACAGAAACTCATGGTGTAATGGGCTGAACCATGGTATCCTTAGCAGAAGAGCAACTCGGCAGTCATTGATACACTGCTCAAGTGCATGGCAGTGGCACCTTCAGTCCCATAGAAACAGCTGTGACCACCTGGAGGAAAATGCTGACAGACAACCCAGGGAGATAAGCATCCATCAAAATGTTTCTCCTCTTGGAGAATACAGCCTGCACCCAGGCCAAGTGACAAAAGCTTAGGAAACGTAGGTCAAGGCTGTGGGCACCTGATTGTTTATGGGTAAACTTTCAACTTACTACCAACTTTTATAGACATAAATAAGCAATTCATGCAAACAGAAATGTGCCATCACCTTCCCATCCTGTGGAGGTTATTATTTCTTTGCCTACTTTTACTTTGGATTGGAAAAGAAATGCACTTAATAAAGCCCTTTGGAATCTTGCCTATTTATAAGTAGGTAGGCACCATTTTGCCCTTGAATATCTATCAGACGAAGGTGTATTATAATCGTAAGCTTGGCTACTTAAAGCAATACCCATGTATTAGCTCACAATTCTGTATGTTGCATGGTTGGGCTCTGCTGAGGATCTCACAGAGCTGAAATCAAGGTGTTGGTTGGGTCTGCTCTTTCATATGAGACTTGCAATCCTCTTCCAAGCTCACTCAGCTATTAGGCAGAATCCAGTGCCTTTAACCCATTCTCCTCCTGGCTTACAGTTAAGGGGCTCCTCTTAGCCTCTGGATTTCTTCCACTCTTTACCAGGGGACCCATGCCATCTTTAGACTCATTGAAGAAAATTTCCCTCACATCGAATTTCTCTCACCTGCTCATGTTTTTCTCTAGGTAAAGTCCAGTCCCTTTTAAGATGTCACTGGATTACATTGGGTTCACTAAGGATAATCTCTTCCATGTAAAAGTCAAGCTGATTGGGGATATTAATTACATCTTCAGGGGCCGGTGCCGTGGCTCACTTGGTTAATCCTCTGCCTGCGGCACCAGCATCCCATATGGACACCAGGTTCTAGTCCCAGTTGGGGCACCGGATTCTGTCCCGGTTGTTCCTCTTCCAGTCCAGCTCTCTGCTGTGGCCTGGGAGGGCAGTGGAGGATGACCCAAGTGCTTGGGCCCTGCACCCACATGGGAGACCAGGAGGAAGCACCTGGCTCCTGGCTTCGGATCGGTGTAGCTCCGGCCATAGTGGCCATTTGGGGAGTGAACCAATGGAAGGAAGACCTTTCTCTCTGTCTCTCTCTCTCTCTCACTGTCAAAAAAAAAAAAAAGTCAAGCTGATTGGGAATATTAATTATATCTTCAAACTCCTCTCATAGCAACATCTAGGTTACTGTTTGATTGAATTGCTGGAGAATGTGTAAGTACACCAGAAGGTGGGAATTTTGAAGGCTTTCAGAATTCTGCCTACCACAACTGAAAATATGACTTTCATGAAAATAGAAACCTGCAGCCTTCAAAGAAATTTTGTGACATTTAAATCTTTAATTTTTGTAAGGAGTGGTGCTTGTGAACTCTTCCATGAAAAGAAAATTCTATGCTGGCATAGAATTGCAAGATTAAGGGATGTTTTAATCAAGTCATACTTTCAGGAGTACAAAGTGAACCCTTAGAAATTAAAATGGTAAGAAAGCTACATGTAATCCCAGATCATGACCTAATTGGCACTCTGCATTCTTTTAAGGAAAGGGCAAGTACAGATGATCTTATTCTGAGTAATACAACCTATAATCTCTTGTAAATCCAATTTATCATATCCATTACACCTTCATTATGTTTGATGATTCAGTATTTCAAAGGGTGTATTCCTGACACATTTTTCTAGAGATGTTAATGAAAACATGGATAAATTTGAGTGATTCTGTGACTTTGCTTTCTCATATCTTACTTACTGAAAGATAAACACTTTGAGGAACGTGTGGAAGAGCATGAATTTTCAATAAACAGAGCTGGGACATGCAGTTTCCTCCCATCTTTAAGCTGGTGGCTTTCATACCTGAGTCCAAAGAAATTCTGAATTAAGTGGAAGACATCCTGGACCCCCTACTCCTCAGGGATCTTTCTGATCCCAGAAAAGCCTTCCCTGATAGGCAACTGCTCTACTACTCTGCTTCCAGCTACAGTTCTCTTATCATATTACCTACATGTGCCAAAGTTTTCCTTTCACGATTATTTTTCTGCTCTCTTGTAGATGGATATAAGGTACCATTATACACATGTAGATGCATGTGATGCTTATACAAATGCCCATTTACAGGTAGGTTATATTACATAAAACTTCATTAAACAGCTTTTTCAAGTTCAAAATATACTATCATCTAAAAAGGCATTGTTGGTCAGCTTCCCAGGCCAACTCATGTACTTCTAATGTAACTGAAAAGAGAACCCATTCAAGTTGACTGGGGTACATCTCTGAAGGAAACTTCCTAAAGAACCAGAATGGTAGGGCTGGGATTGTGGTGTAGCAGGTAAGGCTGCTGTGATGCTGGCATCCCATATGATTGTTGGTTCGTGTCCCTGATGTTCTACCGCTGACCCAGATCCCTGCTGACTAACTGGGAAAAGGAATGTGAGAAGTCCTAAGTACCTGAGCTCCTAAGACCCATGTGGGAGACCCAGAGGAAGCACCTGGATCCTTGCTTCCACCCAGCCCAGCCCTGGCTATTGAGACCATTTGAAGAGTGAACTGGTGGATGGTAGGCTCCCTCTCTCTGTCTCTCCCTCTTTCTGCGTAATTCTATCTTTCAAATAGATAAATACATCTTTTTTTTTTAAAGAACAGAAATGTTAACTCCTCTTTAATCAATGTAAATTATATTTCTCTCTGAGCAGGTGAACTCAGTCATTTGCTATATGAAAAACAACCTTTTATGATGACTTAATATACTCTGATATTTGAATGTTTGTGTACTCTTTGACTTTTAGAGAATCATCATTTAGTACCAAAAATGATAAGAACAAGAGATACTATTGGGGCTGGCACTATGGGCCATGCCTCCACCTGTGGTGCCAGCATCCCATATGGGCACCTGTTTGTGTTCTGGCTGCTACTCTTCTGATCCAGCTCTCTGCTATATCATGGGAAAGCAGTAGAAGATGGCCTAAATGCTTAGGCCCCTGTACCCACATGGGAGACCTAGAAGAATCTACTGGTTCTTGGTGTCAGGTCGGCCCAGCTCTGGCAATTGTGGCCATTTGAGGAGTGAACCAGCTGATGGAAGACCTCTCTCTCTCTCTCTCTCTGTAACTATCTCTCAATTAAATAAATAAAATATTTTTAAAAAGAGATACTATTTAGGAAGTGACAACTTTATGGGGATTGTTGATACCAACAACCTCTCTATAAAATGTGTTCAAAATAATCACAGAAAACTCATATTATGAAAAAAAGTATGCCTGTATATTTTTGGACTCAAACTCACACTAACTTGTAATGACATGCCTGAGGCACTTAGAAGTATGAGGAGTCAGCTGAAAAGAGCCCCAATCAGAGTAACATGAACCTTATTAAAACTGAAACAAGAAAAAACATCAACTTTGTGGTGAAGCTTGAATGGAAAAATGAGGAGCCCACCGATACTTTGTGAAAAATTTATAGAGATAATGCTCCAAAATGATCAGCCACTTACAAATAGATACTTCATTTCAAAAAGTGACAGGACAGCCGGCGCCGCAGCTCAATAGGCTAATCCTCCGCCTGTGGCACCGGCACACCGGGTTCTAGTCCCCGGTCGGGGCGCTGGATTCTGTCCCGGTTGCTCTTCTTCCAGGCCAGCTCTCTGCTATGACTCTCTCTGTGCAGCGGAGGATGGCCCAAGTCCTTGGGCCCTGCACCAGCATGGGAGACCAGGCGAAGCACCTGGCTCTGGGCTTTGAATCAGCATGGTGCGCCGGCCGCACTGCGCCAGCCGCGGCAGCCATTGGAGGTTGAATCAATGGCAAAAGGAAGACCTTTCTTTCTGTATCTCTCTCTCACTGTCCACTCTGCCTGTCAAAAAATAAATAAATAAAAAAAAATGTGACAGGACAATGTTGAAAATTAAGCCTGCAGTTTCAGATCATCCACATCTATTTGTGAGGAAAAAATTAATCTCACTGGTGCCCTAACTGAAGATGATTCACAACTAACAGCAGAAACAGTAAATACAGCAGACGACACCTCAAATGGTCCCACTTACAAAATTCTGCTTGAAAATCAAAGCTGAGCAAGCATTCAACTCAGTGGGTACCAAAACTGCTGTGCTCAGGTAGCCTGCAGACAAGAGCAGAGATTTTAAGAGAAATTTTAAGCAAGGGAGATCCAGATCCTGAAGTATTTCTTTGAAGAACTGTGACAGGGGATGAAACATGGTTTCTGTCGCTCCCCCTCTTCGTGGAGGAACGACACTAAACCCTGCCTAGGCTTCATATCCGAGTCACGGCACCATTATGTCGCTCCCCCTCTTCATGGAGGAACGACACAGGACCCTGCGCTGTTCTTTCGTCTGCTCGGCCCTCCCCGGGTTTGCTGCTGGTCCTTCCTGGGTTGGCTGCTGGTCCTTCCACCTCCGTGGAAGGGCGGTTCCCCCTGCCACATTCCCCACTTCCGCGGGGGAGCGGCACACCGCCGGCCGGCTCTCTCGGGGGCTGCACAGGTGTTCCCCTTAGATGTTCCCCTTAGATGTTCCCCTTAGATGTTCCTGGTGCATGCCGTCTCTCTCCTCCTTTATAGTCCTCCTCTGCCAATCCCAACTCGGCTGCCCACACGCCAAGTACGCTGCTCTCCTCCAATCAGGAGCAAGTCCTACAGTTTATTGGCTGAACTGGAGGCAGCTGCGTAGAAGCTGTTTTCTTCTCTCCCAGCGCCATATTGTGGGAGAGCAGATGCATAGAATAAGTCTTAATTCCAGTAACTTAGTCTAGTCCGAGTTGCTCCCCACAGTTTCCAAGTGTGATCATGAATGCAAAGCATAAGCAAAGCCATGGCTACCAAGAGGGAAAGTGGACTAGTCAAAGCAAAAGCAGATAGATCGGGGTGCATGTTTGATCTAGTAGGTAAAGGTTGAGATGCATCTGGGTTCAATTCTAAGATCTGGCTTCTGATTCCAACTTTTTGTTAATATGGATCCTGGGAGGCAGCAGGTGATGACTTAAATTAATTAGGTTATAAGCACCCACATGGGAGATCTGGATCATGTTCCTGGCTCCAAACTTTGGCCTGTCCCAGACCTGGAAATTGAGAGTAAACCAGCGAATCGGAGCCCTTTCTGTCTGAGTCTATCACTCTGCCTCTGAGAAGGAAAATAAAAAAAAAAAAAAACAGACTGGTTAAGAACAAAGTCATGGCACCAGATTTTTGACTTTCTGGAGGGACAAGGAATGGCACTGCTTATTATGAGTGTTTTGAGAATGTTGGCTAAAGCTGCCGACAAAAACAACTGGGAAAACCTTGACCACATGTGTTTGGTCATTGCTTTCATCGACAAAGGCAGTTTTGTGAGATCTTCAGAGTGAAATCATTAGGCACTCCTTATGACTCCTTTTTGATTCATAATCTTAGAATATGCATTGAGGGGCAGGTGTTTGGTTTAGAAATTAAGCTTCCAATTGGGACATCTGCAACCCATGTTAGAGTGCCTGAGTCAGTCATGGATCTGCTTCCAATTATAGTTTCCTGCTAATGTGCACCCTGGGAGGCAGCAGGGGATGGCTCAAATGGTCAGGCTGCTGCTTCCTATGTGGGAGACCTGGATTGAGTTTCTGGGTACTGGCTTCAGGCGTGGCCCAGCTCTGACTGTTGCAGGTATTTTGAGAGTGAACCAGCAATGAGGAGCTCACTCTCTGTCTCTCTGCCTCTAGATCTCTCAAATAAATAAATAAATGAATACATAAATATTTAAAAGGCACCCATTTTTATTCAGTTATAATGTAAAGAGGACTGAAATGACATGCCAAATTCCCAGAACTCTCAGATCTTTAGGGATAGACTAAATGGATACGGTTCTCACTTCCAAAAGTTTCTTGAGCTTGACAGAGCCTATGTTGAGTAATAGAGTTTATATTTAAAAATTTTACCTTCTAATTTCATTTTCCATGAACCTTTTAAAATTCCCTCATATGTTGTCACATCTTATATTTCAAATATCCTTGTCAGCAGAGTTATTTTTGGTCATTTTATAGATGAGCAACTTGCTCTGAGAGAGAAGTAATTTTGCTGAGTTCCTACAGCCAGGAGGCAGTTAACCTCACTCTGGGGGACTCTGACTCCAAAGCCCATTCTTTTGAGAGACTTTTTTTTTTTCAGAACAATCCTCCTATTAATGCAACTGAATAATTTGCGGAATTTCAAGCAGTATAGAAGGTAGGGAAAAGACTTATGAAATGATGGTAGAGGTTCCACCAACCAGAAGTTCCACTAATCTTCATTGTGTTTAAGTCTCGAATTTGATTTTCCTTTGTTATCTTCTCCATTTCTATTGGTTTTAAATTTGCATGTACTTTCAAAAAAAAAAAACAAAAAAATTTGCATGTACTTTCAAAAAATTAGGATTCCCTTCCTTCCCCTCCCCAGAGTAGTGGGCCAAGGTAACCTGGAGGGAAGGAGGGCTGTGAGGCAGGTGTGTATAGGGAAAATTAATGACCATATTGGGATTGACTGTAAACTTTGGAGGATTTTAGCAAATTTGATGCCTTTTTTCTATGCTGTCAAGAATTCTCTGTAGATTTCAATTATTGATATGTCACTTGTGGACATTATCTTCTTCTAAAGTCTGAAAGAACTTGAAGATAGTGAATAACTCATACAAAGCATTGTAGTATTTCTTAAGCCATGTCACAAGTAGTAGGGAAAAGGGGACTTTTCTGTATTTAAGTGGGTTTGGAAAAACTGGTTTAAATAAAGTTAAATAAGATCTCACCACTGAAAGTCTTAAAGCCTTTAGTACTTTCAAATGGGAGTAAAGGCTTTCTGTCTTTTTTTTTTTTTTAAGATTTATTTATTTGAAAGGCAGAGTTACACACACACACACACACACAGAGAGAGAGAGAGAGAGAGAGAGAGAGAAGGAGACACAAAGAAAGCTTTCCATCCTCTGGTTTACTCTCCAGATGACCAGAATGCCTCGGGCTGGATCAGGCTGAGCAGGAGTCAGGAACTTCTTCTTGGTCTCTCCCATGGGTGGCAGGGATCCAAGCACTTGGGCCATCTTCTGCTGCTTTCTCAGGCCATTAGCATGGAGTTGGATCAGAAGTAGAGCTTCCAAGATTCGAACCAGTGTTCAAAAGGAAAGCTGGAGTTGCAAGTCTTGGCTCAATTTGTATCACAGCGCCAGCCACCAGTCTTGGTTTTTTATATCCAAGCATGGATACAACTCAAGTGTCTCCTACACCACCTAGATCTTTGTCACTTGATATCTTTGTCACTGTTTGTGACAAAGGTTTCCAAATATACTTCTTGCTGTCACCTCTCCTGATATTTCCTGGACTCCTCTGTCTCATAGAGCAGTTTTGAGAATGTGGCTATAGCTGCAGTCTCACCAGTATGGTGCTTCGTGGAATACTTCATTGTCAAGAAGGTTAGCAACAGAAAGGGGGAATTCTGTATCTCATTTCCAGGAACAAGTGGGAGTGAGGGTGGGCCAAAAAGGTACAAAATAGAGTAAAATATGTGAATTTAGGCCAAATATGATTTTCTGTGTGAAATGGTATATACATTGAGGTTAGGGAGGAGCTCAGGGAAATCAGAATAGGAAAATCAGGAACTTTGTATCCGCAAAGCCTTTCTTAAAGAGTGTGGTACTTAGTCACTGAATTACTGATAGAGCATAATCACATGCTAGTTTGAATTAAAGCAATATTATTGGGGCCAGCACTGTGGCATAGTGGGGAAAGCTGCCGTCTGCAGTGCTGGTATCCCATGTGGGCGCCAGTTTGAGTCCCAGCTACTCCACTTCTGATCCAGCTCTCTGCTATGGCCTGAGAAAGCAGTGGAAGATGGCTCAAATCCTTGGGCCCCTGCACCTGCATGGGAGACCTGGAAGAAGCTCCTGGCTTCAGATTGGCACAGCTCCGACCATTGAAGCCAATTGGGGAGTGAACCAGCAGATGGGAGACCTCTCTCTCTGCCTCTCCTTCTTTCTCTGTGTAACTCTGACTTTCAAATAAATAAATAATTTTTTTTTTTTTAGAAAAAGCAACATGATTGAATTGACTTTTAATTGGGGGTGATAAAGCATTGATGATAAGTACCCAATCTTTGGAGTCAGACTATTTGAGTTCAAGTCCCATTCATGTCACTTGTTAGCTCCACAGTGTAAGACAAGGCACTTGGCTTTTTGAGTCTTAGTTCTTCCATTTGTAAAATGCAGATAAAACCAATATCTTAACGTATTAACACACATAAAGTTACTGGCACATAGTGAATAATATGTAAACGCGATCGTTTATCATTCTCTGTGGTGTTGCTTATAAACTTGATAGAAATCAGCCATGCTGAGAAAATGATGTGGTGAAAACAGCAGTTTGGATTTTAAGATTATCTCAGGGTTGCCCCACAGCACGTTGCTTAGATAGGTAGGGTTCCAGAAAGTCTCCAAAATATTTTTGATGCAACATAAATTAGCAAATATGTCTTCCGCTGTGACCAAAAGTGCCACAATAAAGTGGAAATGCCATTTAATAAGTAGAATATTAATAAGGGTGTAAGGATTTCATTCACAAAACAGAGCCCATTACACAATGTTCTACTTTGCTGGCAAAGATAGGTCGTGCCTAATGTTGTTATATTGCGTGTGTGTGTGAGTTTAGTCTTAACATGTTTTTGGCCCAAGTTTCAGTCCCACCCACTAAAATTTGTAAGGTGTGTATTAAATTGCAGGTGAAAGCCCAGATTGGAATAATACATATACATATATATGTATATATATAAAATGAATTGTTTATATTAAAATGCTTATATTAGAGTCTTGTGAAACATCAATATATCTTTACAAACTGCTTCAAGGAATTTACCAACTATTAAATTATTTCCTATTCCTCCTTTGTCCTTTCTTTTGTCCAACTGTCCATTGATTCAGTTATCTACTCTTCCACCCTGCCATTTGTCCGTCCATCCGTCCATCTGTCTGTCCGTCCATCCATCCATCCATCCATATTTTTATTGAGCCTCTGACTATGTTTTACACATCATGCTTGGCTTTGGGAGGCATAGAAGAGTAAGATGGTTTATGGTTTTTTAACCTCATGAAACTCATGGTACAATCATTAAACCCTTGATTCCATCTATGCTATAAAATTGAAAATAATCAAGTATTGTAAATGTCTTTTCTGAAAAATATTTAAAACAACACAAATAGCAGACTTCCATTAGGTTAACAAAAACAAAAGCTCAAGATGTTGTAAGGTTCCTCTCATTCTTCGTCTGCCTAGAGCAATCTTTGATAGGCATCTGACATTGCACACTAGGACTTACATTTTAGGGTCAGAAGACTTTGGCTTCCATCCCTACTTGTGACTCTTTTAAAAAGATTTTAAAATTTATTTATATAAAGGGAACACATTTCATGTATTTAATTTTTTTTTTTTTTTTGACAGGCAGAGTGGACAGTGAGAGAGAGACAGAGAGAAAGGTCTTCCTTTGCCGTTGATTCACCCTCCAATGGCTGCCGCGGCCGGTGCGCTGCGGCCGGCGAACCGCGCTGATCTGATGGCAGGAGCCAGGTGATTCTCCTGGTCTCCCATGGGGTGCAGGGCCCAAGTACTTGGGCCATCCTCCACTGCACTCCCTGGCCACAGCAGAGAGCTGGCCTGGAAGAGGGGCAACCGGGACAGAATCCAGTGCCCCGACCGGGACTAGAACCTGGTGTGCTGGCGCCGCTAGGTGAAGGATTAGCCTAGTGAGCTGCGGCGCCGGCTGTATTTATGTTCTAAGAGCATAAAGATACTTTCCACCTCATCCCCTGCCTCCTTCCCTTCCTCACTTCCATTGTTCCTCCTCCTTTTCTTAATATTCTTTTAATTTTTACAATGACTTACTTTACATGTAGGAAACCTTTCTGAATGTCAGCTTTCTCAGCTTAAAAATGATGGTAACAAATACTTCCCAGAGGTGTGCTGTAAAGAAATGAAGAACTCCAACACATATCACATGTTGTTCTGGGTCAGGAGTGTTCATATAAGTAACCTCATGTAATTTTTGCCACAGTTCGGAGGGGTAGACCTATTGTTACCATTTTGTTAATGAGGACACTGAGATTCAGAAAGGAAAGTGACAGGGGCCACAGAGCTAAGGGAAGGGAATGCATTATCTGAGTTCCAAACTGTCTGTCCTGTTTGTAACTAGACCACCCTAAAAAAGAATGTGAACGCTTTTATGTTGGCAATAGGAAGGTATGGATGACTTCAGTTTAAAATCCAGCAACTTTTTTTTTTTTTTGCTGCAAAATGAAACGATAATCATAGTGCCTCACTCATGAGAATTATAAAAAATAAATAATATTTGCCAAATGATTCATATTTAGTAAACAGAACATAAATAGTAGCTGTTATTTTAATAATCACAAATAATTCACCATCCACTATGAAATCATATTCTTATCTGTTCAAAAGTTTCTGAAATCTTGGCTTACAAGTACCGAATAATTGGATGTGTCTGCCATCCCCCTCTTTTTAATGTGCAAAATGTTATTCCCAATATACCAGACCATTAGAAAAGAAAGAAAGCAGAACCAAGAAGAAAATGTGATAAATCAACCTTCAAATGTCAATGAAATGAACACATATTTCATTTCCCTGAATACAGATAGAAACCTACAGAGTGACTAGTGACTATCAGTATACATGTTTTACTCAATTTTTAAATTCAAAACAAAGCTACTTTTCTTTTGAAAATTAATAAAAGAAAAACAAATTTTCTACTAGTTAAACTCAGGCTCTGGCTCCATTGCCTAGATTCAAATCCAAGCTTTCCTACTAAATGCCTCATGTTGCTACTGTGTTTTCTTTATCTATAAAATGAAGAAAATAATTGTGCCTGTTGTAGGATTGTTGTGGGAATAAAATGAGCTAATATAGCATAATTTGTCCACGGCATATAGTAAGCACTATGAGTTTACTGAAAACCAACTGAAAAGTTGTAGTTAATTGATAATTCATATAAAGTTTAGTAATCTGTAGATAACTTGCATGTTTTAGTTGCTGTTTTGATATTAACTCTGTAGATACAATTTTAGAATGTATTAGGGAATGGTTTTGGAAAATTAGCACATTGACTGGAACGATTATTTAGAATGAAATCAAAATGTTAAGCAGGAGTGCTTAGAAAGCACTTGCCGGACTACCTCTTCCTCTAAAAATGATGAGGCAAAAGAGGAATCGAACTTTATCATTTATTAAGCATCACCTAAAATAAATATCTATATGGAAATTAGAGATACCAGACTTCTGGCAACAGGCTAACAATCTCAGATAAAGAAGTCAATTGGCATTTCATCTTATATAAGGAACACAACTGATGTTTAAAAATGAATGAATCACAGTCTCTCTCTCTCTCACTGTCCACTTTGTCAAAAAAAAAAAAAAAGAATGAATCACTCAATTAACAAGGAGTATAGGAAAGAATAGGAGTATAGATATTCCTCAAGGCAAAGGCCAACAGACGGACAGTTGCACCAAAATCAGAGCGCTAAAAACATAGAGAATGAGGTCACAAAACCCACAGGTTCATGATAGTAGAAACAGCAAGAATTGAATCAAACATGTTTTGGCAAGGCTTTTCCACATTGCGTTTCTTGTTAGTGGAGAAATGAGAATGGTAAGCATGACTATGAAACACCTTTTAGAACGAGTGTAGGTAAGACTGACGCTGCTGGGCCCAGCGTCTCCACCTGCAGAGCTGGCATCCCATACGGGCACTGGTTCGCATCCTGGCTGCTCTCTGCTTCCAACCCAGCTCTCTGCTTATGGCCTGGGAAAGCAGTAGAAGATGGCCCAAGTACCTGGGCCCTTGCACCCGAGTGAGAAACCCTGAAGAAGCTCCTGGCTTTTGGATAGGCCCAGCTCTGGCTGTTTTTGCCATTTGGGGAGTGAACCAGCGGATGGAAGAATTTCTGTCTTTCCCTCTCTTTGTCTGTAACTCTATCTTTCAATAAAATAAAATAAAATAAGACCGAGGCTGTCCTTGTAATTATTAGACATCTGCATTTCTTCAATGCTTAAGCCTGCTTGTTAATATGATATGCCTTCTTCTTGAAATCCTCCAAATCTTGGATTAATATGCATGAATTTGGCTTAAAGAAAATGTAAGCATTTAGTGTTTCCGACTGTCACTATTCTTTACCAATTTGTGTTACCCTTGTCCAGAACTATAGCGCTGATCACCAATATTAATCATGCAACATCCCATAAACTGAATATACTCCTGTAACACAAGGAAAGAGGGCTTGTGTTGTCTATAATTTTGAGATATAACTTAAAAAGAATAATTGGGAATGTGAGATGAGAAGTTGGAAATCCTGTTTAACAAAAATGATTTTTATAAATGTAGGAAACATTTTCAAATTCAGCAGGTTTTAATAAATAAGCAAAACATTAATTCAAGATATTAACTTTTTCATTAATTTGTTTATTAAATATTTATGGAGTGTTGAATATGTGTGACGCATTTTAAATTCTTTTAAAAGGTCTCAAAAGCACCCTTTTGAAAATCACTGTGTGCTCACTGAAGGAATGGTACAAATGGGTATTTTATGAGTGGGAAAGAAACCCAGAGAAGTTCATTAACAGAATTCAGTTGATTACCAAATTCTTATCGCTGAAATTTTCCTTGAATAATTATGGCTACTAGAGAGATTGCAGTAAAGAATAAGGAAAAACGAACTCTGAGGAATTACAGCTGTGATATTGACAGTTGACAATCCTGTAGAGATGGAAAAGCCCCCTAACTCCTATTTCTCTCAGATTCCTTACTATAAGATGGATGCTAATGATGTCTGTCCCATGAACTTACCAAGCTGTTTTGACAATTTAATGAAATAACAAATATAATAATGTTTTTAAAATGGCATACATTTTAAAATGAACATTATTATTGTTATCATAATTGTTTAAAATCACTATTTTAGTTGTACATAAAGATATGCCAAGGAATTTTTTTCCTTCTTTCTGTGGGACAACCCTATTTTGGAAAAAAAATAATTTCAATTAATGTATGTTTTTATTTTTCTTCACTATTTCATGGGAAGAATTTTAGAGTAGATATGTTTCCCTCATGATTGCTCTCCTGTGTTCTCACTCTCCCATCAAAAAGTTTTGGTCTTCTGCCGTGAAGGCAGATGTCTCTACAACTCCTGGCTCCCTTATATGCATTAGTCCAAAAGGACCAGCCATGAATGACAAGGAAAAACAGCTAAAGGGGAAGTGCCAGAGAAGGTAAGTTTTGTCAGAGTGCTGAAAAGAGGTTTTTCTTAAAAGAAAAGAACACACACACACACCTCCACCAAGAAGTTCAGAATCAGTCAGTACACAGAACAATACAGTTTTTCTTCTAAAAGCCCAGCTATTTCTTGGTACATAAAGTAATGTCAACAATGAGAGTTTTTTTTTTTAATACAAAAATATTGACTTTAAACACAGAGATTACTTAATCTGGCCTGCTATCATAATTCCACAAATATGAGAAGAAACAATGCAGGTTGAATCCATTAAGGATACCTCACCAGTAGTCCTCCTCGACACATCCGGGATCTAGCCTCTGACACAGGACAGCAAACAAGGTGTATATCCCACAAAACTGAACTTACCGATACATCACCAACAGGAGGAAGAATATGATCTTGTAGGTCTGCACCCACTGAACTCGATTTTCTAATCAACTGAATGACATCTCTAGATTTGGTAGATGTCTACAGCGGGAAGAAATTAAGGAAACAGATTACAAGTCCTTGAAATGAAACTAGTTCAACAAGTTTCAACAGAGAAGCCTCAACCCATAGAATTGCTTGAAGAAAACAGAGACAACACAGTCTCAACAAGAATGCAATATTTTTTTTTTTTGTATTGGCCAATTTTGTTAAAGGAGAAGGAACAGGTTGCAAGGATTTGATTTGAATGAAAAATATTTTAGGAATGCACTAGGAGTTTAAAGGAGATTTGTGGGTATATAAATATCTTAAAGAAACCTTCACATGAAAGCTCACAATAAAACCAATCAGATATTCTTAAATACAACTCAAGAAGTACTTCTTAAATTCTTTTTGAACAGCAGATATCTTCATGCCTTACAATGGAATACTGAAATTATTAATATGTTATATTTTTTAAAAAAGATACCTATTTCTGAGAGAACAAAGAAATGAATATCAAACAAAGATGTTCCCAAAGTGAGTTAATGGAATAAATATATGAATAGAGACATTTACGGGAGTGAAGGCAACTGAAAAAGAAGAAACACATTTTTTAATTAGACAACATTATGAATACATGATTTTTTGCATGTTGAAACCATAAAAATATGACTGAAACCCTGTTTGAGCAAATTCTGATCTTGGCCCCTTTCCTTTTAAGCAGCAGCTAGTGTTTTTGGGGTCCATTCGCCTATTTTACACACACACACACACACACACACAAATAGCACCCCCCCCCACAACTCTACAGAGAAACATAAATGCATCTTACTTAAGATGTATTGTTTTGTTTATATTCCTGGGGAATCTTGCTTTCCTTCTGTTTGATTAGTCACAAATTACCCTTTTTTTGACAGCAACATGAAGAGTAAAAATAGTTAGTGTTTGCTCCTAATTACACTGTGACAGCCAAATGGTACCTGTTTAAAGGGAAACACTGCTTTAAATAAAGATTTTTAGCATCACTGCTTCCAAAACTGAGACAATATGGTGCTTTAATTCATAGAAACTCCAGAATTAAAGTGCTAGAGTTCAAATCTTAGTAGTTTCCATGTTCATAAAATAAAAATAATGCTAATAACGACTTCACAGATTTTTGTGAAAAGTAAATGAATTTTAATATATGTAAAATGCTTGCATAGTGCCTCAGTAGGGAAATATTGGCTATTATTATTAGGATTTTAGTTCATTTGTACGTACTTTATTTTTAAAAATTTACTTGAGAGGCAGAAATACAGAGATTGAGATATAGATAGAGAACTCCCATCTACTAGTTCACTTCCCAGATGCCACAACGGCTGGGACTGGGTTTGTGCCCAAGCTGGGAATTGGACCCACGTCTCTTACTAGGGAGTCAGGAACTCAATTATGTAAGCCATCACCTTCTTCCTACTTGGTTCTGCTGCAGCAGGAAGATGGAGTTAGGAGCTTGAGCCAGGAACTGAACGCAGGCACTCTGATGTGGGACACTCATGTCTTACATGCTAGGCTAAATGCCCTGTTCAAAAGAGAAAACAGTTAAGATCGTTCTATTGAACGAAACAAGGAATACACATAGTTATATTCTTCTCTTCCCTCTTTTCCCTGGCATAGTGAAAAAGGCACTGGCTTGGAATGGCACTTGTCCTCCTTGCTAATTATGTGAACTTGCACAGATTAATGAAACCCTCTGGGCAGCATCTTTCTCCTACACAAAGTGAATTGATAGCACATCTATGTGCAGAACTTCTGTGCATAAACTGCAAATGTTTGCAAAACTGTCCAGCACACTCCCTGGCAATAAATGGCAGCTTTCACTATGGGTGGCAACAGGCTTGGTATACGGAGCTTCGACTTTAGAGGGAGACACACTTGCCTGCAAATCAGGGCTCTTACCCCGCAATTGTTTGGTCCTTCTGATGTTTGCTTCCTCGAGTGTAAATGGAATTAATAATAGTTTTTCAGACTGTTGTCTGAAAAAGGGAAATTTTTAAAATGGTACCAGGTGACAAACAAGTATTGTCGTGTTGGAATGAAGAGATGGAAAATATCACCCTGTTAAGAAATCATTGCGCATAGTAGCTCAGACTCTATTATATTATGATATTCCAGAGGAACCTAATGTGTTAAGCAGAGCATTTCACAGATAATTGCTTAGTTCTTATTCTGTTCTTAATGTACTTGATGAGTAAGGCAGTGATAGGAAAAGGAAAGAATCATTCCTTACTTTATTATAAACTCTGTTACCTCTCCGATAATTTACACTCTCTTGTTGGAAAGGTTACTTTGGATAAATCCAAAGTTCCACAATCCTTTACCTGTTCCTTAGTGTTTTTTACAGCTGGAGGGAAATACACAAACACAAACATACTGATGCAATTTTAAATTCTTCACCATGATCCTAAAGCCGGTTCCCTAACACTGCAGGAAGTCATTTTATATATCCCTCAGCCGTGCACTTTCACACTTTCCTATGCAAAAATTTCTCATCTCTCCTGTTTCCTTAAAACCCTTTGTCTTCTCTTTGATTCTCTTATCTGACAACTCTGCTTCCTATACAAGTTTAGTAGTTTCCTGAGACTTGAGGAGAGTTCTTCCTTGCCTTTTGTAGCGCTAGGGATACCAGGAGCTGTTTAACTTGTGTCTTGCTAACTCTGGTCTCTGACTCTACCCTTTCATGGTCATCTCCTTTGTTCTCTCTGTGACCTTTACTTTCCTGTCTCTCTGTTTTTTATTGTGATTAAATGATAATTACATGAAATTTACCATTGTAATCATTTTAAAGCATATAGTTCTCTAGAATTAAGGCTATCCGACTCTTTGTGACAATTACTGCTGTAAATCTCCAGATCTTTTTCATCTTTCCAGCTGAAATTCTGTATCCATTAAACACCAACAACTCCTTGCCCTGACTTCCAGTCCCTGGAAACCACCATATTTTTTTCTAATAACATAAATATCAAATAACTATATTAATATAATTACAGCTAATTCTAAGTTATACTTATAAAATTTATTTTTATTTTAAATAATTTATTAATATATTAGATTCTTAGAGTCACAGCAAGTGCATGGCAATTGCTATAACACAATTCTCATGTTAATGTGATATTAATACAAAAAGAACAGATTTAATGTAGTTCATAGATCCAATTCTAAGAATATAATGATACTTCTCCCCCTCTCTTTCTTTCCTTTTTTCTTTCTCTTCCTTCCTTTCTTTCTTTTTGCCTTCTTTCATTTTAGAATTTTTGAGTTAACATTTTAAATTTACATTATAGTGAAAGGCTGAATGTTCCACTAAATAAAGCATTCAACAAGTAAAAAGGCCACAGTTCAGCAGGGATATATGCAAAGGCTGTAAGCAATAAACTAATGAAAAGATGTTCATTCCACTCATATACAATAAATTTTTAAAATAATCAAAGATTATTAAAACTATAATAGATATCTTTCTTAGCCACTTGTTTGACAAATATATAAAACAAAGCTTGACAAAACTATATTTGCAGTAATACTGGTACACACAGAAATTTCTTTTTTGTTGTTTTTTGATTTTTTCCTTTTTTAAATTTTGGCCTCTACATAAAAGGGAGAATATGTGTATTTATATCCATGTGTTCAGGTTATTTCACTCAATCAGATGTCTTCCATTGCATCCATTTTGATGCAAATGGCAGAATTTTATTCTTTTTTTATAGCTGAGTATTATTCCATTGTGTGTATGTCTGTGTGTGTATCTACACATTTTCTTTACCTATTCATCTGATGATGGACACCTTGTTTGACTCCATATTTTGGCTATTGTGAACAGTGTTGCTAGCAACAATGGTGCTTATATGTCTTAGGTACAAAGTGTTCATGCCTTTTGGATATACACCTAGTAGTGGGACTCCTGCATTTTATGGAAGTCTATTTCTAGGTTTTAAAAAAAATTTTTTGTACTATTTTCTACAATGGTTGTAGTGCTTTACATTCCCACCAACAGTGTATAAGAGTTTCCTTTTCTCCACTTCCTCACCAGCCATTGTTACTCTCTGTGTTTTGTAAAACAGTCACTCTGAAAGGGGTGAGGAGATAGCTCACTGTGGATTTGATTTGTGTTTCCTTGATAGCTAGTGATGTAGAGCATTTTTCATGTATTTGTTGGCCATTTGTAATTCTTCTTTGGAGAGCTGTTTCTTGAAGTCCTTTCCCCACTTCTTAGCAGGATTTATTTTTTGTTGTTACTGTTGTTGCTGACTGTTTTTAGTTGCTGATTTCTTCTGGCTATTTATCCTTTGTCACATAGGTAGCTTTCAAATATTTTTTTCCATTCTGTTGGATGTCTCTTCATTCTATTGATAGTTCTCTTTGCAGTACAGAAGCTTCTGAATTTGATACAATACCACTACTCTAGTTTTGCTTTTGTTACCCAAGCTTTGGGGGAGGTCTTCTCCAAGAAGTCACCTACACCAAATTTCCCCTGGATCTTCTTCCAGCAGCCTCTTATTCTCAGTCTTAAATTGAGACCTTTGATTCATATTGAGTTGATCTTTATGATGAGAGGTAGGGATATAACTTCCATCTTCTACATATGTGCACCAAGTTTTATCAGCACTATTTATTAAAGATATCATCCTTTCTCCAATGTATGGTATGAGCACTTCTGTCAAAAATCAATTGGATGTATGTGTTTGCATTAATTTCTGGGCTCTCTATTCTGTTCCATTGATTTATGTATCCATTTTAATGTCAAAGCATGATATTTTAATACAATAGCTTTATAATATTCTGTGATGCCTCTAGCTTGCTTTTTTTCCCTCAGGGTAGCTTTGGCTATCCTGGATCTTTCGTGATTCCACATGAATTTTAAGATTTTTTTCCAATTCTGTAAAGAATGTCTTTGGTATGTTAATAAGAATTGCATTGAATCTGTAGATTGCTTTAGGTAGCATAGACATTTTAATGATATTAAGTATTCTAGTACATGAGCAACAAATATCTTTCCAATTTTTTGAGTCTTCAGTAATTTCTTTCATCAAATGTTTTATAATTTTCATTGTACATCTCTTTAGCTTCTTTGGTTCAATTTATTCCTAAATATTTGATTTTTGTGTGTGGCTATTGTGAATGAGATTTCCTTTGCTGATTTCTCTGTGAGTTTGTCACTAGCATCTAAAGAAGCTCCTGTTTATGTATATTAGCTTTGTAATCAGCAACTTTACTGAATTGATTTTTCAGTTCTAACAGCTTTTTGGTGGAGTGTTTAGGTTTTTATGTGTACAACATCGTGTCGTCTGCAAACATGAGTATTTTGACCTCCTCTTTTCCAGTTTTGTTACCCTTATATCTTTCTCCCAAGTGCTTTTGCTGATGTTTCCAGTACTATATTAAGAGTGGTAAAAGTGGATATCCATGTCTTGTCCTAGATTGAGGAGAAATGCATTCAACTTTTCCCTGCCTAGTATAATATTGGCTGTTGGTTTGTCATATGTAGCCTTTATAATTTTGAGGCATGTTCCTCTTACACTTAATTTGTGTAGGATTTTAATCATGAAGGGATGTTGAATCTTATCTGAAATCTTATCCAATGTTTTCTCTGCTTCCATTGAGAACACCAAATAGTTTTCGTCTTCATTTCCTGATGTGATTTCTGACATTTATCAATGTGCAAATATTGAACCATACTGTACAAGATAAATCCCATTTGTAATGTGTGATCTTTTTGATGTGGTGTTGGATTCAGTTTACTGATATTTTGGTGAGAATTTTTGCATATATGTTCATCAAGGATATAGGTCTGTATTTTTTTTTGTTTTGTATCTTTGTTCAATTTTGGAATCAGAATGATGTTGGCCTCATAAAATGAGTTTGGCAGCATTCCATCCTGTTCAATATTTTTGAATAGTTTGAAAAGTATTAGAAGCCTTAATCCTTAATACCACTCAAAAAAACTGGTACTGGGGGCCGGGGCTGGGGCCCAGTGGGTTAATCCACCTGTGGTGCTGGCATCCTATGTGGATGCCTAGTTCTAGTCCTGGCTGCTCCACTTCTAATCCAGCTCTCTGCTGTGGCCCGGGAAAACAGTGGAGGATGGCCCAGGTCCTTGGGCCCCTGTACCTGCATGCGTGACTGAGGAGAGGCATCTAGCTCCTGATTTTGGATGTGCACAGCTTTGGCTGTTGTGGTCATTTGGGGAGTGAACCAATGGAAGG